GGTGGCGCGGTCAGACCCGGGAGCCCGAGCCCCTCGGTGATCAGCGAAGGGCGAGACGAACCCGAGAGCAGCTGGATGAGGAGCAGGAGCGGAGGGTCCGCCTGCAGCTCTACGTCTTCGTGGTCGATGCATCGCGTCCCCTTCAACGCCAAGCAGCCCACAGACATGCCCCGGAGGCAGCAGAAGGTGAGTTGCGGGCAGGACCGCGCGCCTCCTGGACTTGCCCCTCCCCGGGCGGGGAGCGCTCGGGCCGCGGTCCCTCTGCCCCACGCAGGACGCTGTGTTTTTGTTAGTCTTGGAGGCAGGGGGACCTTTGCGGGGAGGACAGGGTCTTAGCCCCCCCTGGGAGTCGGTGGCAGCGGACGCATCTTCGCCCCGGGCTTGGCAGAATCTGTCAGCTTGGCGTCCGTGAGACCGAGACGGACCGGGCAGCGCCGGCCCTGCGGTGGGGCACCCGGCGGGCCGGGCTCTGGCCCGGTTAGAACGCAACCCCCGTGAACTTGAATTTCTCGCGGCCGCGGTGCCTCCTGCTCGCCTAGCCCAGCTGGAGCTGGACCTGGCCGGAGGTCGGAATGAGTGTAGCGAGTGGGATCCGGACACTTGCGTTGGTCAGAGGGGAGTTTCCACTAGGGCGAAGGGGTGGGAATGTTCCTCGGTGACTAAAAAAAAACCCCAAAGTAAAATGGACAGGCTTCCTATACTGCTTTATAAACTGGGACCTCGGATCTAAACACTGCAAAAGGTACGCAGCTTTGTAGAGGTACCGTGAGTTAGTAATTCCTGGGCCAGCCAGGCCCAGTAAAACGCACTATTGATACAAAATAAAGGATTGGCTCATAACCACTTCAAAACAAAATGTCCCCCTCCCCCGTCCCCCGCTCCCGCCCCCCAAAGAAGGTAAAGGGGTTTTTTTTCAAGGTGAAATGCCATGCCTTAAGACCCCCCGGGGATTGAATTTTCCTGGTAGAAAAAAAAAGAAAAGGCCTCAAATTTGCTTTTTTTTTTTTTTTAAAAAAAAAACGGTTTAAGAACACCTTCTCTCTAAAACGGGGGTTCTCGAGCTTGGTGGAAAATAGGAACGACCGGGGAAACTTGGGAAAATCCCGATTTCCCGGCGCCCAGCCGCCCGGAAATTCTGTTTCTTTGTTACTAATGATGAGGCCCAGAAATCAGGATTTTAACAAGATCCCCAGGTGATTCTAATGTGCAGCCAAGGTTGAGAACCACTGCTCTAATAGAATGCTGAACCTAGATTATTCTTAGAAGGTTCAGTAGAAACATACAGCAGTCTCCTTGGTTTGGGACAAGATGTGGAGACCTAGAGAGATTGCCCAAGGCATGCATACCTGGATGCACAGGTGTTTGTTAGTTTCCTGGAGTAGTAACTTTAGCGTGTGAGGCACTTAGAAATTTGGAGAGCTTTCGAATTGAATTTTGAAAGCCTGCATTTCAGTGTCAGTGCAGTCTTCCCACACCATCCTAACCCTGTGTACCCATCCTCTTAAAACAGGCCCAACCTGAGCAGCTGTTCTGAATCATTCATTTTCAGGGCACACTTATAGGATGCTTCTCTGCAGCTGGAAGCTAATTACACAGATCCTTCAAATACCTAACCCTCTTCAGATTCACAACCCCAGAGATGGAAAAGAGGTAGGGATCCTCTGAGTAGACCTCTGGTTTTTGGAGGAGAGAAAGGTGTCAGAGTAGCATTCCTAATCCCAGAACAGTTGGCATAACTGATGACACCATTCCTCAGGTCAGATATGAGTGCACCGGGGAGTTTTGTGAGCCTTCCATTCACCCCTAGGCCAGTACCCTACTTTCTCGTCTGTAGCTTGCTGTGGAGATGCAGTACCCTCTAACCTCTTCTCAATTCTGTAGGTCAAATGACTTTCAATTTCAGTAGTCATTCTTAAGCCAAGTGTAACCTTTGATAAGTATAGGTGCCCCCCAAATGTATTCACACACTTTGAATAATTATAAGGGCAGTGTTTATTAAGATACGTTTCATTTTCAAAATTGAGCTGTCAGCTGTTAAAATGTGTATACATTTTGGGGGGCATGCTGTGATAAGTGGTCATATCAAGTTTACGAATATCATCCAGTCTCCAGTGTTTTTCACTCATACTGCATTAACACTTATTTTTGGTGCGTTAAAGTCTTAAAAAAACGAAGTTTGGTGACATTAAGATGCTGTCCTATTTGGAATATTATCTTTGAAAATAATTGTTTGCAACTTATTAGTGGCTGACTTATACTGTGTGTTCTTGTTGGATTTGGTAATGAAACAAACTCTCCCTTGCTTGTTCAGCTAGGGCAGAGCTCTCTGACGCGGCCTGTTTAATTACAGGCATGCCTCAGATGTTGCAGGTTCTCTTCCAGACCACCTCAATAAAGCCAGTCTTAATCTTTTGCTGCTGGAGGGTCTTGCCTTCAATTTGCACCACCTCCTCCCCCAAAACAAAAATGCCCCAAACCCACACATCTGTGAAGTGCAATAAAGCAGAGCGCAGTGAAATGAGATATGCCCTGTAGAGTGTAGAATGTTTCTCCAGAAATTGTGTTGGCAAACAGGTGCTTTCCCAACACTACTGCATATGTTCTGCTCAAAAATAATTTGGAATACTTGGAAATTTTTCTAAATGTTGAGAGCATTGAGTGCGGTCAGATTAACTTTTGTGAATTTATTATTATTACTAGAGGCCCGGTGCACAAAAATTTGTGCACTCGGGGGGGAAGGGGGGTCCCTCAGCCCGGCCTGTGCCCTCTCGCAGTCTGGGACCCCTCGGGAGATAACGACCTGCTGGCTTAGGCCTACTCCTGGGTGGCAGAGGGCAGGCCCAATCCCTAGGTGCAGCCCCTGGTTGGGCTCAGAGCAGGGCTGATTGGGGAGTTGGGGCGCCACCTCCTGTCATGCACAGAGCAGGGCAGATTGGGAGGTTGCGAAGCCACCCTCAGTCACGCTCAGGGTAGGGCTGATTGGGGGGGTTGGGGCACCGCCCCCTATCACACTCAAGGCAGGGTCAATGGGAGGTTGCAGTGCCACCCCCTGTCACTCACAGAGCAGGGCCAATCAGGGGTTGGGGCACTGCACCCCCTGTCACACACAGAGGCACACGGGCTGATCACGGGGTTTGGGCGCTGCCCCTGTCATGCTGATCCAGTGCCAGGAGACCTCGAGGCTCTGCTGATCCCGGTGCTGGGAGGCATATTACCCTTTTACTATATAGGATAGAGGCCTGGGGGGCCGGCTGGTTTGCCCTGAAGGGTGTCCTGGATCAGGGTGGGGGTCCCCACTGGGGTGCCTGGCCAGCCTGGATGAGGGGATGATGGCTGTTTGCAGCTGGTCACACACCCTTCAGGGTGGGGGTCCCCACTGGGGTGTCTGGCCAGTCTGGGTGAGGGGCTGAGGGCTGCCTTAAGGCTGGCAATTGACTGAAGCTCCCAACCTGTCCTTTTTTTCTTTTTTTTTTTTCTTCTGGGCCAGCTTTAGCTCTGGCTCTAGCTCTGAGGCTTCCGCTGCTGGTTTGTTTGCTGTTCTATAATCGAAACAATGTATACCTTCAGCTCTGAGATCCCAGCGGGCTATATTTGTTACAAAGTTTCAAACTGCCAGCTCAGAGGCCTGCAAGTCAGGTGGGGAACGTTGGAGTCTGCAGTCCCTGGAGCAAGCAAGCCTCATGTTCGCTTCCAGCTGCCTGGCTGCCGGCCGCCATCTTGGCTGACAGTTAATTTGCATAAGGATATGCTGATTAGCCAATGGGAAGGGTAGCGGTCGTACGCCAATTACCATTTTTCTCTTTTATTAGTGTAGATTATTATTATTATTATTATTATTATTAAGGAGGAAAGCCCACAACAATCTAAGTCGTTCTATTAGTCAAACTTATTCAAAAGGCACCTGATGCTTTTTTTTTTTAAACATGTTATTTGGTAAGGGGAGCTGGAGCTATTCTTGACAGTCAGATTTCCTCCTGGACAAAATGAAATGGGAATAAACTATATTTTTGCGAATTTGATGCACAAGCCAGTCTTGAATTATACAGTTGGGTTATACAGAGGAAATAACAGGATAATTACAAAATCACCATCTATTGTATACTTTTATACTGTCTTCAAGTAGGCAGACATCCCATAAAAGGATTTAATAGCTTAAATTGTTGTCATTGAAATGCATATTGCTGCTCACTTCTTTCTTTTTTTTATTGAATTGGTTAATAGAATTATACAGGTTTCAGGTATACAGTTCTACAACACATCATCTGTATATTGTATTGTGTGTTTCCCACCTCAAGTCACTTCTTTCAACTTTGTGAATTTAGAACTCAGAAATTGGGATCTGAAAGGGTCCTCATTGTATAAATGAAGAAAATTAATCGGAGATAAGAGCCTTACCTTGCCAGTCAGAGGCCTCTCACTGTTAGGGCTGGTGAGCCTCTGAGGAGCGCAGTGTTGTTTTTCAATTGGCTCCAGGGGCCCACAAAGCTAGTGAAGGGCTCATCCATGAGCTACTTGAGAAAGCTTCATAGCTTTAAACTCACAGTTGACTAAAACATGCCTGTCTTTGATTTTGGTTGGGAAATTTCAACGCTGAGGAACAACAGTTGCCACCCTATGCCCGTTAGACCCTCTGACTGACTTTACAGGAAATTCTGGGTGGTGGTGGTGGGGTGTGGACCGGGCACTGATAAGGCTCTGTACCAGGTGGGCACACTTCCTAAGTGGACATACACAATATGGATGTGAAGTAAATTGCCAATGGCAAAATAGCTTTGTCTGAGTAGTGCTTAAGCCTCTGATGCTTATTTACCTTGATTACCTTGGCACCATCACACTGCAGAGGGCAGTAAAGATGAACTTTGGGTGGTTCTCTATCATTGGGTAAAGGTGGGATCAGTGTTGAAAAGGGAAAACAGTGACACAGATAAAGCAAGTCAGTTATGCTTTTAGGCAATTTGTTTGTTGAACCTTTGGAAAACATTGAAATCCAGTAGGAAAAAGTGATAAAAAACGGGTTCATGGTGGTTAGAAGGTAGGGAGAATCTGGCAAACATGATACCCACAGGAGAGATTTAGTACATTCACTCACGTAGCTGTGGGTTTACAAACTATAATTCTCAAGTTATATCTGTCTTTCATATGTGCTTGACTTACGTGGTAATCGTTTTGGTTAGCCAGCAGTCTGT